TGCATTACAATTGAGTTCAGTTAGAAAGTATTGTGCTAGCTCCATGCTACCAGCTTCACATGCTCCATGAACTGAAGTGTATCCATTATTATCAGGATCATCAGGAGTACAGGGGAAAGTCTCTATGAGATAACGTGCCATACGAATATTATCAGAACGAGAAGCATAATGAAGAGGAGTACGACCAGACTTGTCTTTAGGTATTGGATTAGAGACAATGTTTGGTTCCAAATACTGGTATATATAAACTCTCTTTCTCTCTGCTAGTAAGTGTAAGCAGGTGATGCCATTTTTATCTTCTGCTAAAGGATCCAGTCCATGTGTCTCAATTAGTGTTCTTACTATTCCAATATCTCCTCCCTCACATGCTGCATGAAGTAAACCACGTCCTCTATTATCCATTACATTAACACCTTGAGGATAAATACTAAATAAATCATAAAACACATCATTATGGCCATTACTGCAAGCTGTATGTAATACAGTATATCCTTCATTATCAGTAGCTGTAAGGAGATCATGATGAGTAAAACTACCAATGACAGAAGACAGTAAAGCTTTAGCGGTATCCTTATGACCAGAGGCAACTGCTAAGTGTAATGATGTATGTCCTTTCTTGTTAGTAATTAATAAGTTATTGTTAGACAGACTGGCTTTTAGTAATAATGATACTGCCAGTATTTTCTCGGGGCCACGTTGACAGGCTACATGTAATGGTGTGTTACCATCTTTATCTTGTACATTAATAAGTACAGCATTATGTGGATTATTGTATATGTCATGTGGACTGTCTAATAGACACTTTATCTCACGTAACCTGACAACACTCATTGAAGGTATACTCTTACTCAGTAAATATTCCAATACTTCATATAGGCTGCAAATGTTAAATAACATTACAACAAAATGTAGTGGTGTACGGTCTTGAAAATTGGTTGCATTAGGATTACAATAATTATTATCAATGAGATACTTCAATACATTTAAGTGACCCAGTGCTACTGATAAGTGAATTGCTCCAGACCCTATACTATTAGTAGCTGATAAATTACAATTCTTACTAATAAGATATTTAATAATTTCTAGCTGATTGTAATGAACTGCAATAAGGAATGGAGTTTGACCAGATGCATCATTTAGTTCGAGTGATGATGGTGCACGTTCTATAATGTACTTGATTAAGTTCAATCTTCCATCACTGCATGCTAAGTGAATAGGAGGCTTTCCCATGATATTCACAGCAAAAAGATCTAACTGATGATTCTCTACCAGATGTTTGAGTATAGGAAGAGAGCCACTGTACTCACAGGTAATGTGAAGAGCTGTTGATCCATAAAAAGTCTTAGCTGCTACATTACACTGAGGAAGACTGGTGAGGTAAAGTACAACTGGAAGATGACTTCCTTGACATGCTCTATGAAGAACTGTACTGCCAGTATCAGTAGTAGTGGCATTAACATCACACTGATACTTGTTGATGAGTTGCTGTAGACAATGTAGCTTACCACAATAAGCAGCTATATGAGCTAATGTATACTTTTTATTGTTAGTGTGATTAGTAATATCTACACTATACTCCTGACTGTACCATTCCAGTATATGAGTATGACCAACCTGTACTGCTGCATGTAATACTGAGAAACCATTGTTATTAATATTAATAGGCTCAAGCTTGTATTTTTGTATCAGTAACTGTACTAGATCAAGATTACCTGAGAAACAGGCATTCATGACACAATTACTACCAATAGTTGCAGTAGCATTGACATCACATTTCATATCATTTATTAGAAATGTGACCAACTGAATATTACCACTCTCACAAGCTATATGCAATAAAACATGTCCCAATTTGTCAGTAGAGTGTAGTAAACTAATGTATTGAGGATAATGACTGGTGATATGTTTGATAAAGTGAGCATGACCTTTTAATGATGTAACATGAAAAATATTCCAACCTCTGTTATCTGTAAGGCTCAGACTACACTTGTAATCCTTCACATATAATTCCAGTAGCAAAATATCACCAGATTGAGCAGCATAATGAAGTGGTAGCATACTGTCCTTACTGTCAGCTTGATGAGGATCTAACTGATGGGTAGTTATTAATTCTTTAACAAGAAATAAGTTAAGAGACAGTGAGGCATAATGTAAAGCAGTGACACCATCCTTATCCACTGCCATAGGAGACAAACCTTGTTCAGTAATAAGATACTGAACTAAATCAAAGTTACCACTCCATGCAGTCTGATGTACTAATGTACGTCTGTAATTATCTGTTTTATTAATATCACAATACTGTGCCTCAATTAGATATTGAGTGATATCAATATGACCATGACGACAAGAACGATGAAGACATGTCATACTATCATTTTCAATGATATTGGAATCACTGTTATGATCATTAATAAGATATTTAACAGAATTAATACTACCTGACCAGCAGGAGTAGACTAATGGTGTACGACCATAAGTATCAGTATCATTAGCATTGAGATTATACTGAGATAAGATACAATGTAATACACTAGTAGAACCGGACCAGGCAGCACAATGTACTGGAGACCTACCATCATTATCTAATGTATGCTTGATATTATATTCTTCTAATGCTTTCACTAGTAATGTACTGCCACTGCGTGATGCAAAATGAAGTAATGACTTACCATCATTTGTAGTAGCATTGATGTCAAAGTTAGGGCAAGTGCTAGCTTTCTTGAGAAGGAAAGAAAACAATTTAACTCTTTCATTTCGTTTGATAAAATCAATACTTGGATTTATTCTAGTATAATTAACAATATTAATGCTACATGCATCACTTGGTGCCATAAGCTTACTATACACTATGCCAGCATTGAAGTTAATAGCTGCACCAGTTGCATAATGTAAACATGATGTACCAATATTATCATTAACTAATAATGCTTCATTACCTTGAATACTAACAATATACTCAACAACTGATGATGAAGCAAACCATGAAGCAATATGAAGCGGAGTCCTACCAAATCGATCCTTTACATCAATGGATAATTGATATTGATTTAAAAGATACTTAAAAAGCTCAACATTATTACTCATAGATGAGTAATGCAATATGCCAGATTGATAAAAATCAAAGGAATTTGGTGAAAAGTGGTTTAATGATTCAAGCTTGTAAACTAATTCAAACTCTCCACTTTGACAAGCCAGCAATGATAAAGAGGCACCTTCACAATTAATGTGAGAAGTATTACAATTATTCTCAATAAAGAATTCTACTAGGTCAGAATGGCCCCCCATTGCTGAGTACAGTAATGCAGTGTTATTGCTATTGTCTGGTTGATCAGGAGGAACGTGACATGTGTCTACTAGATACTTTACTATAGATAAGTGGCCTTTATAAGATGCCATATGTATACTAGATACACTATTATCATCACCTTCATTAGGATCAATACCATATTGATGGATGAGTAGTCGAAGGATCTTAATGTGTCCACCATATGATGCAGAGTGTAATGGAGTCCAACCATGAAGACCACGATGATATGTGCTGTAACCAAACTTGTTAAGAAGCCATTGTACTTCATCTTTTAATCCTCTCCAAGCTGCTTCATGTAATGGTGTACTGGTATTCTCATACCATAATGGATCACATATATCTATATAAAGAATATAATAACAATCAAATTCTAACTTGACCAAACCAAAGTTACCGTATACCACAAAATTTATCCAACAAAAAATTTTTGCAAATCCTGCAATTCTAAATTTACATGAAATATTGTATACCGGTTTATTTTATGGTAAAATATTTTTGTGAATTTCACGGTTTGTGATTAGTTGTAAAAAATTTTCACCACAAAAATCTGCTCTCCATTGTTACGTGGTGCAGTCTGCAAGCAATTCACGAAAATTAATTCCGCAAATTCTTAGAAATGCAAGATTGGCGAAAATTTTTCACCGCAAAAATTAACTGGTATACGGTAAATTTTTGCAAATAGCTAGCTTGCAAACTGCACAACATGGCAATGAAGCTGCAGAATTTTATGATTTTAATTTTTTGACAAAGCAAAAATCACGAAATTCGAAAAATTTTTTGTAGCATAAATTTCATGGTGTATGGTACTGCTCAAAAGTTAAGTACTGTGCAAGAGGTATATTTTTCAGGGAAAATATTTCACGAAAATTACCTTTCCACCTATTCACAACAAAAAATTTTTGCATTTTTCTTCAACTGACCATTATTAGTATGGTAAAAAATAATTTTTATAAATAAAAATTTTTAAAGAATTTTTTAAAACCGTGAAATTAAATCCCCGTGAAATATACCCCCTATTGGTATAAGCAAGAGTAGATCTACTCTTGGTATAAGGGATTGACTAAAAGTCAGTTCATGTACTTACCAATATCAGTGGATGAGTACTTAACCTGTTCTATTGAGAACTGTAAAATTAAAAATAATAATGAAATTGTATTTCTATACTCTTTTAGATCATATTCATCTTCACCACATGTTAGTTCAGTGATACCAATACTAGCTAACTGTTGCTGTAGCTTTGTAGTTAGAGGAAATAATAAAGAATAAAGATACTCAGGAATGAGGTAACCCAAACAAAGAGAACCAATGCGAACGAAACAAAAGTAAAGATCATACTCAGGAACATCTAATGCTTTTGGTATTGATCGACGAAAGAAGAATAAGTCATCTAGTGTGTAATCATTACGATCAACTTTAGCAATCATTACTCGTGTACCAGGAGGAACACCTTTTACACCAAACTGTACAGCATCAGCATCTTTCAATAGTCCACCACTGTTTATAAAATAATCCTCTAACTTCTCTTCATATGCTGACCAAGTTCTTTTTAATGAACGATTCTTTGGTAAAAATACTCCAACAAGTTTTATCATTAGTTTGTAGTTGAACCATGATATGTATTTGTCTTGTAGTACAGAAAATAATTTTGATATTGTTTTGATGCATTCAAACTCTTCTCTAACTGCTTGAGCAGTTGCTTGCTGTTTTCTGTTAGGACCAAGTAATGACTTTACATGTGTTTGGAGGTAGTCAATGATTTCAGGTAGATCATTCGATTTGAAGGATTTTTTTGTAATTCGAATGGCCTCATCAAATTCTTCCTGTAGATCATGTAACTCGCTTGCCAAGTGAAAGTTCTTTTCAGAAGAACCATATCCATCAGTACCTAAAAATAATGAATTTTGTTAGTCCTTCGGCAGCTATAACATTTTAAGTGAGCACTAATTTGAATATTAAACTATTAATTCACATTAAAGTACATGTACTTAATACTTCTATTGCTATATAATGTTCAAAAAATGATTGATCTAAGTTCATTTAAAATATTTTGCTTCAATAAAATGTACAACAGGTCACAAAGGACAAAGCATATAGCAGTATATTCAAGTACCGTAAATCCTTACATAGAAGCCGCATTCAAATAAACGACGGCATAAATATAATACGTGGAACAGGATTAGAAACAGGATCACGTGAGCGCATTATCCATTGAAACACTCCTAGTTTGCCGGGAACTGGTCCCATAATGGAGATGAATGGAGATACTTTGTGGGACTCTCCAGACGATATCTGTTAGTTTTCTAACTAAATATTTGCTTTTATGGTTACTTCCTAACCTCTTACAGTGCACTGTGATGCTTGTTATGGACTGCGTTTAATAGTTTTAGAGTACTAACGCCATTGAAATATGGCCTTTGGTTTTGACATGCCATAACTTTCTAAAACTTCTGTTTAAGCACTAATAAATGTCTTAATGCACTAAAGATCCTCAGAGAGTAGCCATAAAAGCCCATACTAGGGCGTCTTGCCATCTCCTGAAGTTGCTAGAGTCCCACAAACTTTTTGAAAAGGGACAGTCGGGGGCCTGGGCAATAGTCGAGCAGCTGCCCGGGGCTCCAATATAACTAGGAGTGTTTCAAATGGATAATGCACTCACGTGATTCTGTTTCTAATCCTGTCCCGTGTATTATATCTATGATGCTGGGGTAGCAATAGAATTAAACTATAAATACGCAAAATTAGCCTAGGAGTGACTCAGTAGTCTGTGGATAATGCCAGAAGTTCCAGAAGTCAAAAGCATGAGGTTACAGGTTTGAATCCCGCTTTGGGCTGAAGTTTTTTAATTTTTTATATATTTTTCAAGATCCTAATACCAATTTTTAGGAAATAGACGCCCGGGCTTTTATTTAAGGAAATATGGTAGTTATAAATTAGTTAATTACGTGATAGCTTGTGTAAACATTATTGTAATGTATTTATGTATTGTTATTGTTGTTATTATTATTATTATCGTGTATTATTATCATTGTATTATTATTCTATTATTGTGTTATTGTAATGTGGTGCATGATGGAATGCACTTCCTGTCTCTTAGTACCTATATAAACTATGATCAAATATTATATCCTTGTTCTTTCTAATTGTCTCTGACCTTCTCTCTGAATCTTTTCTCTTTGTTATTGAGTAAAACATTACATTGGCGACGAGGGTGGGATGGCACTCACATTTGGCCAGATCACAGAATTCCAGCCAGAGACTGAATCTATAGAGGTGTATG